TTTTCAGGGGTTTTCCACGTAAAAACTTTGGTGTCTTTTATGAACGCTACACCCTCTCACTTATCTGATTGTGTGCTGGATCTTCGTACAACGCTAAGACGTTAAACCATATATTTCTCTACCGCCGCGAATATTCCAGGACGCAACAATGATCAATAACGAAAAGTGAGAAACATCGATCATGCTGAAATTCATAAATCAATGACATATGCAAGAACATCAATACATCGAAAACCAATAAATCAATACTATAACACGAACATGCAAGTGTCAATATCATCAATGACATCAGTCTTATCTATCTTTTCAATTATTATTGTTATGAAATCAGTACATGTAATGCACACGTACATATTTCTCATTAGTTCTACCAATGCTATTAATGCTAAAAATGCTATTAATTTATACATGCATCAATATATGATTCAACAAGGCAAGACATCTAGCTTTAGTATGGTATTTTTATCATTTAATTTGTATTCATTGCATCATTATGTCATTATCATTATCTTTATCTTTATCATTAGTATTACATGCATGTGGCTTTTAATAAATCATTAAAAGTCATCGTCCTATGCTCGTCGGCATAGTTTGGTTACAGGCTATAATTGGAATAACACTAGAAAACATCCTTAAAGAAAAGTCTGTAAGCATACCCTCTTGCGCTTTAACAACCAATCCGAATTAATTATTAGTGTTAACAGCCAGTCATCTTAGCTTACATGCATGCCACATTTAACTTATATAATCATATCATTTTCTCTAAAAAAGTCATTATCATTATAATCATGCATGAAATACTCTTTATAAAATACATAAAAATCCTTAATAAAATTAATCTAAAGCTTAAAAAATCACAACTTTACCTAGTATAATTTAATAATATTATGACAAAAATGTTCATAAAATTCATATCTATCATACATAAAAGTTATATGATAAAAGTGTGATAATTCCAAAGAAAATCTATTTTTATCAATTTAGGAGTAATTAAATCCATCTAACTCAAAATAATTGAAAACTACAATGAGATTCAGGTTACTTACCTTACATGAAATCATATAAAAATCACATAACTTGTAACACTTTTCATAATTTTTGGCTTATTACACAGACAATAAGCTATGCTTTGTAGAGAATTTAAAGATTTTCACAGTAATTTTTAACAATTTTTTCCTTGTAATATCTGTCCTATTTCTAGCCATTTATTTTTCATCGTTCGACCTTCTTTTCTTTTCTTTTTTTTTTAAAAAAAAAGAGAAAAAAATGCTTGGGGGATGTGATTTCTATATGGTAAGATGGAAATAATATCGCAGCCTATGTTTTATGTTAATTTTGTCTTTATAAGCCTCATATCTTTATTTGAACAAATATATCTCTTATTTTTTTATTTGAAAAATTATTTTCTCAAATTATTTTTTCTGATAAAAATACTTTGAAGAAAGATAACTTATTGTATTCATAGACTATTAAGAGACCCATTAAGTCCTTCAAACTTGATGCTAACTTGATTCCAATTAGGATTATCTTGAAGTATTCTTATTGCCTATGAATAACTCTATATAGAGATGAGATATGAAAAATTATGAATGTATTCTTCATTTTAATATTCTTTTTTTTTTCCCTTCATTTATGGAGTATGGAGCAACTTCAAATGCTTTAATTATAATATTGTCTCCTAACAAAGGTAATTTCAAGTACATTTTTTTTTAGAAAAAAAAAAAATTATGATAAAAATTGGAATAACTTTTTTATTGCTTTCTAAAAGTTACTGTAAAGAAAGTAGTTTTTTAAAACTGTTGTATATATAATTTTTTAGTACAATTTTTTTTAAAAGTAGCAAAAAAACCAATAAACAAACAAAAATTGTGTTTAGGATTTGAAAAACAAAGCAGCAAAAAAATTATTTCAAATGAAGTCTAAGCCTGTGAAGATCCATCAAATCTTACAATCACAGCCCTGCCACACCATCTCTGTCAGATCATGCAAAACTTGTTGCGTTTGCCTTCGTTACTTCTATAGCCTTCAAGCCCATACCTAATGTACTAGCGATCTTCAATGTTGTAATGCATAGTCGCGCAGTAGTGTAAGGCTTCATTTGGGATAGCTTTATTATTGTTTTTTAAAATTTAAAATTTTTTGTACTAAAAAATTGTTTCAATAAGAAAGATGTCCGAAACGAAGCTGAGGCTAATGGGATTGAGATTTGCGTGAGAGATCATGTGGCTGGACTAACCCCACTTCAAAAATGAAAATAAGTTCTTACTGCACAAAAATGGCTTTTTTTCATTGGTTTAATGCTGATGGGCATCCATCCAGGGTTCCATTTAAATCCAGCGTCGCCACCTTCACAATATCAATCTTATTTTTTGTCATTTTCACAAAGAGATGCGTCACATAAGAAGTTCAATATAAGAGTAAACACTTTGACTGTTTTCACTATAATTGCTATCGATATTCTTCTTTAGTGCAGCAACACCATTCCTGTAACATTTTTCAACGATGGCTGCAAATTCAACACAATCACCACAACTTCAAAACAAATCTGTATATAGTAAACATACAAATGCAATTTAACACTTTAAATATCTACGACCAAAAGCTTCTACTCTGGCTTCCGCTTGTGGTGATCTACTGACCATAAGCTCCTTCCAACAAACTTGAGAACTTCATCAATGAGCACCACAGGGAAAGATAGCAATATAACCAGAAGCCACTCCTTCAGATTAAGAGGAACAACACCAAACACTCTTGCAAAAAAGGGAACATATAGAATGAAAGCATGAAGGCTTAGTGAAACCACCATTGCAACAAGAAGCCAAGGATTTCTCCATGGAGGCATCCTAAGCAAACTATTTTCCTCTGACAATGCGTTCAGAGAATTGAACATCTCAATTGCAACGAGAACGGAGAGCGAAAGCGTAGCAGCCTTGATCTTTCCTATTGTGAAGTATTCACAGGGGTTTGAAAAAGAGATGACATTGCTTCCAGCCAAGAATGGATCTGGAGAGAAATCTGTCCATGTATGGCATTCACTCCATGATCTGAGCTCAGCAAGTGAAACCAGGGTGTGGCCATCACTTGTGAGATCGATGCCTATAAAGGAGGGCTGTGTGTACCATAAAATGAAAATGCCAACGGTAGCCAAGCCTACATAAGAACCAATCACCTGCAAATGAATGTCTTATCTCATGAGAAATAGTATCTACCATGTCAATTTGCATATGTATGTACAAGTTCTGATATAATCGTTGTTGCGTCCTATAGTATTCGCGGCGGTAGAGAAATATAAAGTTTAGCGTCTTAGTTTTGTACGAAGATCTAGCACACATACAGTTTGTCGTCGTATGTGGGAACCTGGTTCTTGACTGGGGGGCAATTTTTGCTCCAACCTTAGGCATCAGTTATTGCTGCGCCCTCTCTCTTTATCTATATGCGTGTTGGATCTTCGTACAAAGCTAAGACATTAAACTTTATATTTCTCTACCGCCGCGAATACTCCAGGACGCAAGAATCGCAATAATTTTATGAAAGTCTAAGCCATACCATGTAGCGGAAAAGGACCCAAGAACTAATAAGAGCATCATCACTCTTACGAGGAGGTTTTTGCATGATATCAACATCAGCAGGATTGAAGCCAAGGGCAGTGGCAGGAGGGCCATCAGTAACCAAATTGACCCATAGTAGCTGGACTGGTATCAAGCACTCTGGTATACCAAGAGCAGCAGTCAGAAAGATGGAGATCACTTCACCTACATTAGATGATATCATGTACCTGCACAAGGAGAAAAATGAAGCACATCTTATAAAAAAGCTTCGAAGTTTTTTTTTTTGGTGGAGGAAGCAAGGAGAAGAAATTACAGCACCTAATAAAAGATTTCATATTATTGTATATTGCACGTCCTTCTGCAACAGCAGCAACAATTGTGCTAAAATTGTCATCTGCGAGAACCATATCAGAAGCCTCCTTCGCAACCTTGAATGGGTAAAACAGTGCAAGAAATATAATTAGTGGAAATGGGGAAAGACACTCATAAGGTCATTTGTCGATATTAGAAAACAAGGTGACATTGTTACGTGGACGGCTCCGGAGGGGCCGGTTGAACCGGTCCAACATGAACCAGTTCAAGTCTATAACCAGCGGCCCAGCATGGGGCGGAAACAGGGAGGGGGGCAGAAGCTTTAATGGGGCCGACTGCTGTTTTAAAAAGCGATTAGGAGGAAAATTTTGAATTAGGGGTTGTTTAGGAATTTTTTAAACTTCCTTTAACTTTAATTAGTCTTTTGGAGGTTAGGGTATCTTGAGATTGAATGCTATTTTGAGATCTAGGGTTTGTGTGCTTGAGCTCTAGATTTGCTAGAGAATTGGAGAGTATTTATTTCTCTAGAATTGAAAAAAATTCTATCTTGCTTTGTTTTTCTTGTTGTTATTTGAATCAAAGTATTTTCCTTGCATTTTCTTCTCCAATCCACTAAAATTCCTGCTTTGTTCTTGCTGATTGAAATCAACCCTTTTACTCACTGTTTTTACCAATTCTTGCTAGGTTTGCTTGCGAACTCAAGTATTACCCTTGAGGTTACTTGCGAACTCAAGTACTTCCTATCAGACATCTCATTATATCTACGGCTATATCAAGGTCTCAGAGACATGAGAATAATACCTCAGTTCCAGTAATACCCATAGAAATTCCAATGTCAGCAAGTTTGAGGGCAGGTGCATCGTTAACACCATCTCCTGTCATGGCAACAACCTCACCCATTTCCTGCAGGAGCCTCACAATTTCTTGTTTGTGCCTGGGCTCGGCGCGAGAGAAAACTAAGCCTCCAGGGTTTGACAGAATTTCAACTTTCTGACTAATATGAAGGCTAATAAATTCTTTGCCAGTGAAACTTCTCCACTTGACACTTTGCAGGTTAGGAAACAATCCAATTTCCTGACAGATTGCTTCTGCAGTAGACTTGTTATCTCCAGTTATGACAATCACCTTAATCCCTGCTCCTCTACAATCTTCAATTGCTTTATAAACTTCAGCACGAGGAGGATCCTAACCAAATAACAATTCACAGTAAGAGTTTTGAATGGGAGATTTAGACTTCATTTGAGATGGCTTTCTTACTGCTTCTTAAAGCAGCTTTTTAGTATAACAATTAATACTAAAAAGTTGCTTTAAGAAACAGTAAGAAAGCCGTCCCAAACAAAGGCTTATTGGTTATGGAAAGGTAACTTACTCTAAGACCAACAACTCCAGCGAAGATTAAATTGCTTTCGATTTCAGAGTAGTTGTTTGGATCAAGGAGCTTCTTATGTGCAGGATGAGTGTCTGTGAAGTAATCGGAAAACTCTCCTAGATCATCTTTGTATGCAAAACCTAAGCAGCGTAAGCCCTTTGAACTCATCTCATGAACTTTAAGAAGTATCAATTGCCTGCATTGTTCGTCCACTGGCACAACTGAATCATCTGAGAGCTGCACATGAGTACTTCTTTCCAGAACACATTCAACAGCACCCTAAATATGTAAAACAGATAAAAAAGAAAAATGAGAGCAACATCAAAAGAAAAATGCCATGGTATTTAATATGATTTGCTGAAATTTTAAAGCATCCTAATACGTCAAACTCCAGCCAAAGTAGAGTATAAGGAGAGATTGATGTACCTAACATTACTCTTGCATTACAGACTCGAACTACCCTCTATAAATATATTTGAGAACCGCTACATAGTAATCAAACATATTACATCACAAGTAAAAATTGGCTAATTTGCATTACATCTAAGAGTGAAAGTAGCACTTTTCAAGTGTGTATTCAAGGTTGATCAACCGGCTAATTGGCGTCGGAGCTGAGCTGCTTAATCTTGTTAAACTTTAGACTAGTTTAATTCCATTTGGTAGTTATAGGGTTGTATAGATGTAATGCTTTCTTTTGTTGCTGTAGCCTATTATGTTGCTACAATTGTCTATAAATACCTTGCCAACACTTGAAATAGGGGGCTTTTGAGATGAATAATATTTGAGTAGTTTTTACTATGTCTTGGGTTTCTATATCCTGAAAGATTTCAGGTGGTGACCCCCCTCCCAAGGAAGAGTTCTTGGGTTATGCGTGGACTGCCAGTTCCGACAGCTAGCGTGTTGTATCTGTCGCCGCATCACCCCCCTCCGCCGGCGTCACTAATCTTCATAAAAAGTTATAAAATTAAATCATCAAACTGTTTTAAGGTTGCATATCAACATCAACAATCTTGATCTTGTATTTGGGAGATAGTAACATAGAAAACTAATTATGTGGAGAATGAACATTCTCCACATAATGATAGATATTTTCCATGCAATTTTATTTTTCTTTATTTTTCAATCATATAACAACCAGTTGGCAAATTAAGATCATTTGTTTTAAACCTCACATGCAAATTACTATGATGCCAAATTTTTAAAAATTTTAATATGTTTTGAGCATGCATCAAATATATAAAAATAAAACTTCAACCAATTGCTTATCTAGATATTGAGAGATGATTCATCAATGTCATAGTGAAGAGTACAAGTCAAATTAAAATTTTTCAGCATGCATAAAATACATCTAAAACAATTTTAATGGATTGATCTCAAAAACATTACTAGAAGTAACACTTTTAGCATGAGGCATTTACCAGAATCAATTTCTGATCAAAGTTTGATCAGAAATTAAATCTTTATAACATATTATGAAATTTCATACCTTGACAAGAAGACGATTAGCTCCAGTTGGCTCACTGACGATTACACTCATAGATTTACGAACTCTGTCAAACTCCAATGTGGCAATCCTTTTTGATCTCTTTATCCACCAGTCACAGCATCCTACGAACATTGTTAAAACAAACTTATATACATAATTATGTAATGGACACCAATCGTAATTTGAACAGCATGAGCGTGCAGGCTTGCAGATTGACATACATGCAATCACATAATAAAAAAATGCAGAAATCAAGCTAAAACAAACCTAGCTTGACGGTGTTATGACCAATGGAATGTTCAGTAGCAAACTTTGAATCATAAAACCTTCTTCTGGTCTTTGTAACAGGGATTCCCATCTTCTCAACCAACACCTTCAGAAACATCAAATGCACCAAACAAAAAGAAACTCAGAACATCAGATTCAGTCCGGAGAAGGGAATTATGAAACATTAAAGATGTATTTGCAAAATAAAATCCATCTTCATGAAAGCTTGTTCACTTCAATCCTCAGAATTTGATGAACAGGATATGAATCCTACTGTTTTCGCAAGCATTCATAAAATTCCATCAAGCATGCTTGGTGTTCACATTCAGTTATATTAATTTTTTATAGCTACTTTTGATGACAAATGTAAATTGAGAATGTTGCCTTCTTCTTTTCACCGTTCTCTTATGGTTTATTTTTCTTTTATTCCCTGTTCAAGAAGTTAAACGAGCAAACCATCACAAAGAGGACAAAAAATAAATGTAATAACACACCTTGAGAGCTGCCTCAGTAGGCAATCCTGTAGCTCGGAACAAGTAATCCTTGCAATAAACCCCTGCATCATTGCAGATTGCACATATCTCTGCTAATATTTGCATGTTTGCCTCCATATTTCCATAGCTCCACTTACCAATTCCTCCATCCTTTGGATTGTAAGTTGAACCTTCAACATGAAAAACCTGACAAGACATTGAACTCCCTCCTAGAGTAAAAAACTCATTCACTGACATCTGATTAGTTGTAAGAGTTCCTGTCTTATCCGAGCATATTACAGTTGTACATCCTAAGGTCTCTACACTTGGAAGCTTTCTTACTATTGCATTCTTCTGTGCCATCTTTCTTGTACCCAGAGCTAAACAAGTAGTTATCACAGCAGGAAGGCCCTCAGGAATGGCTGCCACGGCCAGTGCAACTGCTATTTTGAAGTAGTAAGTGCATTTTTCAAATGAAAAGTGGAAATCCCATATGGAAGCATTGGAAGCATCCCATGTAATGAAATTTCTGTAGTTGATGGCCCATACTACAAGACAAACCACACCAATTGCAAAGGTCAACCTTTCTCCAAATTCATCAAGCTTCTTCTTCAGAGGAGTGTCGTGTTCCTCCAGCGACGCTTCGTGTATTTGAGTCTGAATCATTCCGATTTCGGTGTTCATTCCTACACTGGTAACAACACATAAGCAACTGCCATTGACAACAGTAGTTCCTGAAAACACCATACACTCTTTTGCTTGCAGCTCACAGTCATCAATAAGCACAGGGCTTGTAGTTTTTATCACTGGCATGCTCTCTCCAGTCAATGAGCTTTGTTCAATTCTTAAGGTAGAAGTTTTCAGAGCTGCAATTCTCATGTCAGCGGGGACCTTATCACCAACTCTTAATTCCACAATGTCACCAGGTACCAGCTCCCTTGCAGGCAAGTCTGGTACAAAATAGCCATCTCGAAGAACCTTAGCATGTTCACATTGCATCTCTTTGAGAGCTTCAAGAGCTTTCTCGGCATTGCTCTCTTGCCAAACTCCAACAACAGCATTTAGAATAAGAATCATGATGATCACTACGGGTTCCACATACACCTCAAAACCTGAATGTCCAGATTCACTTCCTTGCAGATATGCTAAAACAAAAGAGATAAATGCTGCAACTAGGAGAATCTTCACAAGAACATCATCAAATTGTTCCAAGATGAGCTGCCATGATGGCTTTCCCTTCTCTTTCCTGAGCTCATTCCACCCATATCTCTCGCGCCTCTTCTCAACTTCATAGAAACTCAAACCCTTCTCTAACTTGACACCGTACTCCTTCAAGCATTGCTCAACCGGCCACGACCATGCTTGAAACGGCTTCTCCTCCATGAATCCAAGTAATTCAGACTTCTCAAGTTAAGATCTTAACTTTCTTCCTGTCACAGAAGCATAAAATCAAATACCATCTGATCTCATTAACATATACTGGACTAAGCCTAAAAAACAGAGTCGCTGAACTTCATTCAACGTCTTTCAACAAAAAATAAGATATATTCCAGTGTAATCTACATTACTTGCAAAATTATTACTTTTTTCACTTGTTAAAAGAAAATCGTCAATAATTCAGGGTAAAAGCAATACTTATTCACTAAGCAAAGCCAATTATCATTAACTTATCATGTCCACAACAAGAGGAAAATGAATCTGTAGAAGCAAAATGAAGACAAAAGGAGAAACTTTTCGATCAAAATAAAGCGCTCTAAATCATTATCTTACTAGCATCAAAAGTTTAACCAAGCAGTGACTCTACGACTGGGCACGAAGAACAGAACAGGGACGAAGAAATTAAGAAGTGAAAGTAAATAATAATAATAATAACTGCCATGCACTAACTGTAAAGAAACTGCCGAAGGAAACTACCTAGAAAAACAATAAGAAGCCTCGTGGATCTTACTCGAATAACCGTAAAAGATGATTTTTTTTTTTTAATTTCCAGGGTGAATGAAGCAGGAAAATGAACCAATTGATATATGCCGCAAAGCGAAGGTGCGGTGAAGTGAGGAAGAGAAAAGAGAACGGTTCAGAAGAAGAGCGGGGAAACCATATTTATATACAGAAGTAAAGAGGCTTCGCTTAGTACCAACGCCAACTAGTATCCGCAGAAAAACAGAGGCCTGCTGGTGGAGAGACTCTGAAGGAATATGGACCGAATGCGCAGCGGGAATTAAAATGAAATGCAAGTCGCTCTTAAAACTGCGTTCATCTTTTTTTTTTAAAAATTATTTGTCCTATAGGCCTGATTTTTTAAAATAATTAATAAAATTTTAAATAAAGTTTAATTTTAAAATTTGTAATATATTATTAATGATTTCAAATTTGAAGTTACAATTTTAATGAAATTTATTTTAATATTTTTAAAATACTATATGTATTAAAAATATAAATAATTAAATAAAAAGATTTAATTATTTTTAATATATAAAATTTTTATAATATTATTAATTTTTTTCAAAAAATTATCTTTTAAAAATGGCCTACAATACATAGATACTTTTTTTGAGCTATATAAAATATTATCTTAAAGCAAAATAAATTTTTATCAATTTATGAGAGATTAAATTCATCAAATTCAAAATCATTGACAATCAAAGTAAGATTCAGGTTACTTTTAAAGATCATAAAACTTTTCCTAACTAAAGAAACAAATGAAAATGACCAAAATTGACTCTCTCTCTCTTCACTCTCTCCTCTTCCTCTCCCTTTCTCTATCTTGTTTTCCTTCCTTACCAAGTCACGACACTAAGGAAAAGAGGCTTAATGCTTAGGGTTTTTAGAATTATATATATATAAATACTATTAGTAGCCTAGCATCGTAGCACTCCAACTCAGCGTCACAACGTGTCATGTTGTATTAAGAAGTACTACAGAACAAAGACTTCAATGTCGTGGTGGTGATTTCCAGCACCACTGTGCTCTCAAGTCTAGCATCATAGCTCTACCAAGCACAGTGTCGAAACGCTACAATTCTAACATAAATTTAAAGCTTTATTTTAAAATATTTTTATATTTAGGGGTATTACATGTTATCATTTGACCATCATATTATGAACATCCAACCACCATGACACAATTATGGTACTCCAACCATCATCCCTTGACAACGATCATTTAACCACAATCACCCAACTATGGCTCTTCAATCACCACTATTCAATTATGGTTCTTTGTTCACCATCACTCAACTGCAATCCTTCGATCACAATTTCCCCATTACGATCTTTCTATTGTAGTCACTCGACTGCAATCCCTTGACTGTAATCATTTTATTATCTTTTCCCGACTACAATCTTCTAACCATCAATATTTGATAGTGATTCTTTGCTTAGCATTTTTAGACTACAATCCTCCAAACACTATCACCCCCCATAACAACTCAAACTATTAACTATCGAGATATTGTCCACTTTGACCAAATAATCTACTGATTTTATCATGTTGGTATAAGTTCCCCGAAGATCATCCATCCAAGGACCACTCCTATATGAGCACACTTAACTTCATAGTTTTTAATGAAATTCTAATCATTATACTAAAATATGTCTCAATGTTTAAAAGTTTAACTTTATTTTCTGACAATCTTTCCCACTTAGATAATCGACATCCTCAAAAGTTTCCTTAACCGAAAATCATCCATCAGGAATATAAGATTATGGAGGAAGAGCTCTCATCTTCCAACAAGTGGATTGCTCTAATACCACATAATAACTCAATAATTATTGAGATATTATTCACTTTGACCAAACAGCTTCATATTTTTATCCTATTGATGTAACTTCCTAGGAGGTCACCAATCCAACGGATCTTCTATACAAGCAAACTTAATTTTGAGTTTCTAATAAAATTTCAATCGTGAGGCCATTAGGCTAAATCAGTTCAATTTTTAAGAGTTAAATTTATCTTCTTAAGGGGTTTCACACACCCAACTAAAATCATTTGATTATTATTGCTTAACTACAATTCTTTTGACCATTTTCTTCCATTAATTTGTAATCATTCAACCATCATTGCTTAACTCTGGTCCTTTGAGCACCGATGCCTGAGTATGATCTTCCAACCACTGTGATCCCACTACATTTTCTTGATTATTATCGTTTGACTACATCAACACTCGTAAACTTTGTTTCCCCCCATGATCAATAATTTTGACATACATTATCACCTATAAGGTTGATGCACCATCATCATAAGGGTTGATGTCCATCCGCTTCCATGCCACCAACATAGATGCTTATAAGATCAATGCATATCATTGAAAAAAAATTCTAATCCAACATCAACATCGAAATTTATGTTAGAGTTCTTACCATGGGGTCTCCCCTCCTTAAAAAACAACAATCAGATAAATAATAAATGTTATCTTGATGACAGCTTCTATGCAAAAGGCTCTTCAAACTTTCACCATGGAATCCATTTTATACAACTTATGTCTACTATATTGTATCAACACATTCCCTAATTTTAACGAATGATATCATTATATATGATGATAAACACCAATGAAATTATTTCAACTCGGTTATGCCTTATGATTTTTTTTCTTTTTTGAGGTTTTCACATAAAAACTAGAGAGTGATTTACAACCCAATTTTGTCCATATGTGTAAAGGATCTTCATATAAAGCGAAGACATTAAGCTTGTCTCTCTATCACCGCCAATATTCTAGCATTTAACAATAATATAGGCTTAATTTGATCATGCATGTAAAATGGCCTAAATTTGACTATTTTATAAAATTTATATAATCTTAAAGATCATTAAGAGTAAAACCATTTTCATCAAATAATAGTGGATGCATTTTTAATTTGTATTAGGAATTAAAGCCACCAAGCATTGTATTGATCTTCAGTTCGATATCCATTGAAAGGAATAACATATTCAATAAAGTCGTGTAATTCCTCTCTACATAAATGATTATTTTAGACGTCTATATATTTATGTGTTATGTGATTGCCTCTCATATTCAACATAATAATATCTCAAATTACTTAACAATTTTCTCCATTATGCCACATGCATATAATTATATCTTCACATTCTAAGAATATTTTGATCAGAATATTTTTTTTTATGTTTTTCTAAAAGTAATCAACTTATTTTTCTAATTTTATACATTATATGGCATACGAATTAAAATTTTACTTTAAAATTCCCTCCCATTAAAACATGAATTTGGCAATAAATTTTTAAAGATCCAAAATTTCTATCTTTGAAATTTTAAATATTTCTGCGCAGCAATATTGCTCCACCCGTCTAAGTGCATTACCAGCATCTAATAATTTTATCAGATTATGGGCGCTATTTGTTCTTCTCTCGCAGTCAGTCACAGCTCTATCGCCGTATCGTATCTTTCTTCTTCTTCCGCCACTTCTTTTTGGCACTACAGCCCCAACTTGATACCCAATATCATCGCCACTTTACCTACATATCGCGCCGGATTTTCTCATACCACCCTCCAAGTCGTCGGCTGCCGAATGATGAAACCTTCCTCCTCCTCTCCGCCCGTTTCATTGGGATTCAGTCAATCAGGCGAAACCGAAGAAGTGCAAGAGGAGGTGGTTCTCAAACCCTTCCCAGCCTCTCTCAGCATCTCTCCGGCGTTGCTGGAGAACTTGGTGTACGATGCTTTGGTTTGGAGTTCGCTGAACGGGCTGGTTGTTGGGGATAAAAGTGTTAAGGTAGTGCGAATTCGAATCCCCTTGACCTAATTTTCTAGGATGGTTATCTTCTTCATGTTTGGCGATTTTGGCCTTATTTCTTAAAGTTGACGTTTTTGGAAATTTTTTAAATTCAGCAACTTGTTAGGTGGAATGCGAGTTGAATGCGAGTTCTTAAGAATGGTTTTCAGGATGCCAATTAGTCACGAAGGACTAAAAAAAATCCTCTTAGAAATGTGCCTTTTTAAGGCCTTTATGGCGACAGTACTATTCGATTGTAGAATTCAAATTTAGGTCAACCTTTTTCCGAGAAATGCAGTGAGTACTAAGTGTACCGTGTAGTTACGCTTATACATGTTGTAAAATAAACCATCAACAGGACATTTAGATGACATTTTGTTTCAGTTGGCGGTTATCAATAAGGAGTATAGTGACTGTACAACACAGATTACTTATATTACATCCAAAATTAGGAACTGCCCTGATTGGAATGGGAATTAATCAGGAAAGAACTTTAAGTTCAATAAATTTTCCGCTTGAGAGTCCACATAGTCTGTTGATCTTTTCCATCCTCGATCACAGCTGATTACAAATCAGGTCACTGGTTTTCCACTCATATAAGAAGAGCATCGTTGAGAGAGCTTTCTCATGATGGTTTTTCAGTGGGCTTGATTTTCTTTCCACACAAGCAATTGAAAACCATGTTATTTCTGGCTATTTTACTAACTAGGTTAACCAGATGATCTAATTTTTGTCAGGATTGGTTTGTAGAATACAATCTTTCATACTTCTTCATGATGCCTTTGACATGTCTTTTGGGGTGGTAGGTTTGGTACATTTCATCAATGGATCTTGTTAATAAACTATAATTGGAGCTCAAGTATCTAAGCGCTTGCCAACTTTTATTATCTAAATTGGCTATTTGCTAATATAAAGCATGCTTGTAATAAATAATATGGAAGCACAATAAGATGAGAACATTCATGGGTATCTTTCCTTTCCCCTTTCTTAAATGGATAGTGCTAGGTTGAAATGCTAAAGTTGAATTTTCCTCACTGCCCACTCCAAGCAAGCAAAAACAATCACATGCGCCTAAATTCTTAGGCGTTGTTTGGGGCGGCTTTCTTATTGATTATTAAAACAACTTTTTAGTAAAAAAATTTAATTTTTATAATAAAAAGTCATTTTGAGAAGCAGTAAAAAAGCCGTCCCAAACGAGGCCTTAGTTAGTTCCTTCCATAGGAAAGAGAATAATATTATGTTATTACTGTGTTTCCACTTTGTCTCTTATTCCTAGTTTCTTCATCCTTCCCTTCTTGGGTACTTGTATCCTCTACATAAACTACAGTCGATTCATCTTATTGGAATAAGAAATTAAATGTCTTTTCTCTTCTATGTTTTTCAACAGCATGGTTATATGCTCAAGATGTTGTGTACCTTGTTATTTTAGAAGTGAATAATTGCCTTGCAGAGATCAGGAACTTCTCCTGGTGTTGGTATGGTTCATGCTCCATTTGCTTTATTGCCTATGCCAATTCAAGAAGGTTTTTGGAAACAAGCATGTGAATTAGCACCAATTTTCAATGAACTTGTGGATCGTGTAAGCTTGGATGGAAAATTCTTACAAGATTCCCTGTCCAGGTTCTTCTCCAATGCTGTCAATTTATGGTTCTTGTTATTTTACTGCTATTAGTTATACTTCAGAGACAACATTACTTCATCTGCATAATTTATTATTTTTTTGACTAATCTACTTAGGTTGCCAATAGTATATGTATATGCAAGTTTGAGGCATATTGATTATGTTTATGCTTTGGGAATTTTGTAATTTGATCGTACTGTATTGCCTAATTTTGAACTTTGTGTGACAATTTTCAGAAACCATGCAACTTGTATTTCTTGTTTTCAAAATAGAGAAAATAAGTCCTTGTGGTTAGGTCTTGTCAAGTGACTGTAATACCATTTCAAACAAATCTTTCCAGTTGTACAAGTAAGCCAAATTAATCATTGTCTCAATAGCCATGAATGGTGGCGTGACCATGCCAACCTTTAATGATTGAGAACTTTCATGCTGCAATAAAGTTAGAGAACCATTAGTTATGTCGCTTTGGAGAGGGGTGATATTCACTTGGATGGTGCAGCGTGCAACTTCAATATTAAAAATTATGCTCAACTCTTGTTATGATTCCTTCATGGAGCATTCCCACTAGGATTACACCTCTCTAGTATTTGTATATGAGTGTACTGAGATGCTCTAAACTAACCATGCATTGTTTCCTGGTTAACCTCCCCACAGAGGCTCACAGGCTTGCTTATCAACTTTACAGCCAGTGTACTGACAGTTGCTAAAATCTCCACACACTTGTACACAATTGCCTTTGTAAGCCTCGATTTTGGTGATAGTCTCATCCCTAAGTTTGATACTACCATCAATACCATAGTTAACATCTTCCCTTTGACAGCTTTTAACAAATTTTTTGCATCTTCTTGATGTTGGTGTAGGGATTGTCGTGGATGCAAAAATGGTTAATGCATGATTGAATTTGTGGAAAGGTGAAGGGGTGCAGTTAGGGGTTAGGAAATTGAGTAGCTTAATGATGGAAAAGTTGCTCTTAATGGCTACTATATTGCATCGAGGCAAGGGCTTTTTGTGGCATCATTTTTGAGATTGGGGTGAATGCAAGAGTTTTGTGGTGGCTATGAGATCCTTTAACTGGGAGATTCTATGCTTTCGTCATGACCTTCTTAGTTGATGCAAAGAGAGGAATGATGGATAAGGGTGAAAGTTATTTTTAGGTGGCGAGTTGGTGTGGCTATCAGTGGAAGGCGGTTCTTGATGCGACAATTAGTGAAAAGTGTGGCAGATGCATCCATCTGGAAGTGATATTTAGAGTTGGCTGATAGGAAATAACACAAAATTATGCGAAACAGTGCAGAATTTCTGAGAAAATTCAGCAAGGACCCAGCAGTTTTCACAATTTCTGCAGAGAAATCTCAAAGACTAGCTCTTAGAATTTAGTAGGAAATGAAAAGAGATGACCCGATACAATGAATCTTCAATTCGAGAGGAAGATTCAGCTCTCCAATCTCTAGCCGAGGTTTAGAGCCCAACACCTAAACAGAGATCCCAAATTTCAATTTCAAATTCAAGATAAACCCTAACCCTAACAAGAAGAAAACTACTGCAAAAGGACAAATCATTAATCCCTAAAGAGACCTTAATTTGAAATTTTCCTCCAAATCAAAGCTTCATTTGCAGGGAAGCTGTTTGCATGGCTTAAACCTCTGACCTTCTGATTACAATGGAGACAACTTAGCCACTGTTTGATGGCCGTTTTTTTCATTGTCCAACGATGTTGATATATGTAGCCTTATCCTTGCATTTGTAGAAAGGCTATTTTCATGGCTCAATTTTATGACTTAACCATTGCTCCATGCCTGCACTCATTTGACAATACATTTGTGATTTTCATATATCCTGATTCCTTCACCATATTTTATTATTTTTTAATTTTCACTTCTTCTATATTATAAGTTGGTAATCAATAGGATAATTTTTTGTTGTACTTTTTTTTGGCAACATCTTCTTGTTCATTCTTAAGTTTCTGCTGTTTGCTCTAACTTTGGTGTTCTGCTGAAATTTCAGAACGAAGAAGGTTGATGCTTTTACTAGTAGGCTTTTAGACATTCATTCAAAGATGCTGGAGATTAATAAGAAGGAGGTGACTTTCTGAATGTCTAATTTTGATTTATCGAATAGTTTAAGATATATGATGCATATTGGATTGAATGTCAATATGTTTAATGGACATAATATTGAACTCTTTATTTTTTTGATTGGTGGTGTATAATTTAAGTGAGGTCTTGTTTTCTATAATAGGTTATTCGTTTGGGCTTGCATCGATCGGACTATATGCTTGATGCTGAAACTGCCCTACTCTACCAAATAGAGCTCAACACCATATCATCTTCATTTGCAGGTCTTGGCTGTCTCGTTAGCAATCTTCACAGGTTAAGTATCTTTTAGATAAATTTCTTTTGACATTTGATTCATTCATGACCACATTTTGTTTCCTTAGTTTTTATTAATTTATTATATGAGATCTGCAATATTGAGAACCCATGCACATGTTATTTATCAAGATTGTGCCAGATAGTAATTTTTCGTTTCACATGCTTTCTTAGGCTTCGTTTGGGACGGCTTTTTATTGCTTCTTGAAGCAGTTTTTTAGTTATAAAATTAAAATTTTTGTACTAGAAAGCTGCTTCAAGAAGCAGTAAAAAAGCCATCCCTAACGTAGCCTTATTTGATTATAAAATTTTCTGCTTTAACTATTTCCTGTACTGCTTGGATGTGCAAAATAAACGGGAGATACAGTACATGATTGCTCAAATAATAGAAGACGTCTATGTTTTTTCAAATTCCTTTTAGTTAAAGTTTCATCATTATTTCCATGATATGAAGAGTTTTTTATTGGATTTGTGTGTTATATCCCACGGTTTGGATTGACTTTTGTTTGGCTGCAAGCTACAAGATAAAAATTAATTCTGGCTCTTATAACAGAATGGGAATTATGGCTTTATTGAAGCTCTTATATAAAGTTGTGCTATTTCTACATTCAAAACTGATCGTGATTTGTCCTCCTGTAGACACTTGCTTAATCAACATGGTAAGGACCTTGGATTAAATCCAAAAAGAGTTCCTGGAAATACAGCAGTCAGACAATTTGCAGAAGCACTGGCCAAAGCTTGGAATGAATTCGACAATAAAAGGTTAATTAATTCTGTGTATTTGATGTAATTTTTTTCCATCCTCGTTAATCATCTACAAACTTTTACATTGTTCTAGTGCAGAGCTGTTGTTATGTTCGTTGTGCAACCTGAAGAGCGCAATATGTATGACCAGCATTGGCTCTCATTTCTGCTGAAGGAGATATATCCTGTTCTCTTGATTTTTCGCTCTTTCACTATAATGTTGAAATGCTTACTTCATAAATTTCAGGCAGTTATCATCAGAAGCATCAAATGTTTGTTATATTTGGTTCACTGTTGAAACTGGTCGGAAATTTCCTTCCCTCCTTTTCACACTTGTTACACAACTGTAACAACGTGAAAAAGTGGTACATTAGATGGATAGATTTTGCATTTATTCTTGCAATTCCTGTTTTTCCATGACTTTTACCTTATTGCTAACAAAATCAAAGAAAATTTCAGCTCTATGGCATCAATTGTAGTAAATTTGAACAGAGATTAAAAATGAGGTTTTTATTAATTTGCTAGTTGAAAATATGTTGTGCTTTTTTAGCAACAATTACGTTTGTTCGTTTTCCACACTCAATACCTATATATCGTTTTCTTAACTTCACAGTACACATGGTGTAAATACTATACGCAAGACCTTGGCAGAAATAGCTGGGGAAGGACAGCTGCTACTTGATGGATCACTAGCTATGTATGGAAACCCTAATCTTAAAAGTTAGATCATTTCATAGGATGATAGGAATCGAAGGCACATTCATATCCATTAATGGATCTCTTCTGAGCAACGAAGTTTTTTTTAGCTTTTATTGAATCTGGAGGATTATACCGTTACAATTTCGAATATACAAATTTATACTTGCAGAGGGGGCCAAATTGTTGCAGTTGTGTATTTTCGAGCTGGTTATTCACCTAATGATTATCCCTCAGAATCAGTATGTGATATATGTTACTATGCTTATGCTATATGTGATATTGTTGTTAATCAAATTATCCTAAGTGCTATTTCTGCAATTTCAACTCAATATTTAATATTATCCTGTTAACCTCATTTTGTTTCTTCAATGAATATATTGTTATCCTTTAGGAATGGAATGCTAGACTTATGATGGAGCGGTCCACCGCTATCAAGTGCCCATCAATATCTTACCATCTGGTAGGAACAAAAAAGATTCAGCAAGAACTTGCAAAACCCTTGGTACTTGAGAGGTGAAACCTTCAAACTTCTATCTGAGTATTACTGGAAAATTATGGGTCCTGCACTTTGAAACTGTCAATTATTGGTTTGGCTGTGGAAAATTAGCTTTGCATTGGTTTATGGCATATTGGAACAATTATTTTGGTTTAATTTATTATACTTTCTTCTTGGATATATGTACTCTTTGGAACTAACGCTTTACCAAATATTGTGGCTTAGGGGAGTTTGGGCATTAATTACTATAATGTAGACCGCAATAGTGTCTTTTTTGGACATGCTATTTTTTCAAAATTCATTGTGAGTTTTCTTCCTCAGATAGCTGTTAACTTCAGAGGGCTATTGATTTTATTTCGTTCCTTTTTTGGCATTTCTAAATTATTCATGTCTGTTTCATTTGAGTCCCAAACGAACTCTGATCTGAGCCCCCTAATGAGTTTTATTCTTGCTCTACTTGATTTCTTCTCATCTACTCATGAGCTACACCTGAAATTTTTTTTTCTCTTTTCTGGTATTAAAAAACCAAAGCTAGCTGGGCTTGGATAGTATTTTCCATTTGTTTAGCCATACCGTTGCAAAGAACAAAATATCAAAGATTGCAATTCTAGGATTTTAGCTTTCCATGCTCAGACCACACTAGAATGTGATAACAGAATGTCCAGTAAAGTTCTGTTATTTGTAATTGAGTACAACAATACAAATTTCTTAAAGCAGGTTTGTTTAGCTGAGGATGTCTAGAAAAGAGCCGTGAAGCAAGATTTTCAGAGCTTTAGAGGGCAGTGTAGCATCAGAATAGAGGTCATGACATAAATATTAGATCACTAGCTAATTGTGTCCATGTTTGCCCGCACATGGAAAATAATTTTTAAATTATCTGGCTCATGATCTCACATAACAGAAAAATGTAGAACATTGTAGTTGACCTCCATGTAAAATATTAAAAAAAAAATTCTGCCGAAATCCCTGTAGAGCCGGCGACCCATCCTGATTTCCTGCCAAAAATCCTGCTCGGATTTTGCAAAATGATGCCGAAGCTGTCTCTTCACAGGCTCTCCCTCTCCATTTCACGCAGATGATCGCTTGTTTCCCTCATTTGCACCTCAGCCTGTCATTCCCGTTCCCCCTCCACACAACTTCTTGCCTTCTCCCTCTACTCAATCGAGCCACAGCAGCTGAGCCCCTCATCTGATCCTCCCTATTCACACTACCCTGATCTCCCACATCAAGCCGCCCACACCCTCACCGTCAGACCTCCCAGCCTCCAACCGACTATCCTTCATCCCTATCCGACACCTCCATCCCATTCGCAAGCCCGAGCCAGTCCCTGCCCTATCCTGTTTCGTCTCTCCCTCTTCGATTAAAGCAACCTGTCGGATCAATTAATCATTCCTCCGTCAGCGAGCTAAATCCGACGAACACATTCAATCGAGCCGCGACTCCCATAACTCCTTCACTGTGTTAATTCCCCAACTGCAACAACTCGCTTACCCTAGCCACAACCATCACTGTGCCAAACCTCCATTCAACCACAAGCCCGATTGAATCCTCTATGCCAAGTTGACACCCAACTCTCGTCTCCCTCTATATAATCTTGATGCAAACCCAACTTTTATTAGCAAGAAGCGAGCCTACACGACTACTCTCCCATTCGCGAGCCCTAGTCCACAACTCGACTCCAGCTATAGATCGAGCACCCTCTTCCAACCTACCTGCTCGACTGATAAGCCATATTCTTCTTCTTCCAGTCTCCAACTAGCCTCAATCCATCTACAATCCATAGACAACCCTTCCAACAGCCATCAAAACAGCCTATTAAGAGGTAAAATCTCTTAATCTTTCTTTATTCATCTATTTCCAGTTAATATAATTAGTTAGTTATTTTTATGGTTATTATCAATCATAATAATTATTATTATTGTCATTATTGATTGTAATGATAATAATAATAATAATTATTATTATTACTATCATTGTTATTATTAAAAAAAAGAAAAAAAGGAAGAAATGTATTTATGCATTTTTGCAACTGTCAACACCGTCGACGTCGCCTCGTGAAGGTATAATGCTCTCTAAACTTCAAATCCCGCTTTCAGCGCAAAATCACTTGTGCACGCTTTTCTCTAGCGTGGTATGAGGGAATCCGGTGCGAAACTTGCGGCGAGGTGGGTAGACCCTGTACATGCTTTTCTCTAGCATGATAGAAACAACTTTAAGTATCTGCATACTTACCTCAGTGCTTGCGGGGAAAGAAAAATCTCAAATCTTTCAAACAGGTACCCTGAAGATCCATACACGTCTTTCTCTGGCGTGTTAGGATTAAAGACCATGGTTGCGATGTCATTCGACACCTACTGTACACGCTTTTCTCTAGCATGGCGGGAAGGCCCGACTCCTAAATTTTTCCTAAACTTGAGAGATGTCGGGGAACCACAGGGAACTTGACTTGAGCAATTAAACAGGAAACCAAACTTACAGTTAGAACCACAGGGAATCGGACATTAAATTGATAAATGCAAAAACTTAAATAAAATGTAAATGCTAAGTAATAAATCCCATCATAAATAACAGTGGACTTGTGCTAAAATCTCAATGAATATAATTTGTTACACAACTCTCCTTGGCCTATTGGTTGAGAGCTTAGGCTTCCAACTAAGAGGTTCAGGGTTCGAGTCTATGTGTATGCGTTGTGTGTGAGTTTTGCCTTAAATGGCCTAAATGTCTAATATATATATATATATAATTTGTTCATAAGCGAATGAACAATAGAGATGCCGACATTTTCACAAGTAACATCGCGAACATTTAATGAATATAGCAACTGTATCAATTAAGGTCAAATGCCGACAAACAACAATGATAGTTTCATTTCCAAGTCATATAGCAACATAAAAAAAGCCTATGATGTATACAACATATTGCTTATAAATGATAATGGGGAATATGCAACAAGTAAAATACTCTCCATGAGATCGATCTAAGCTTACAAATAGATGAACACACAACCAGCAATTGGAGGGCGACACACTCGTGTTACATATGAGCTCATATAAATCATTGCAAGAGGTCTACCATGCATACTACATATAGCCTACAAGTGGAGAGAGAAGTTTGTAGCGACTACAAGGAATGTGTAGTGGATATTATGATAACCCTCCGATTAATGGTAGCCAGTTCCTAGACAAGCGCGGTAGTTACCCTTGAATATTGGAACTCAAAATATAATGAGTGTAGTAAGTTGTCGACAAATTTGCAATGAACTTGACTTACCCAACAATTAGCATCAACTTACAAATGAATACATAAATTCACATATAAGTAATGATATTAGATATGCTACACAAGGACTACGACAAGTGCAAGTATTTATAGGCAAATGAAGGAGACTCATTTATACAATAGTCCACCTATGGGTGGTGGTTAGCAACATGCAACCAACATAACAGTCCCTTGCATACATATACAATATAACATATCATAAATGCAAACACCTACTGGCAGTGGTAGAGGATTTGTTGTACGCACAATGGCATGTTTACAATTGATAATCAATAACAAGCAATGAATGTTACAACGCCTCTGTAGTTGACAACCACTCAATGGTAGGTAAATATATTGATCCCTTGCAAGCAAGGAGGTCGATATGTAGCAAATTCAAGCTCTCAAAAGCAACTATATGAATTATGTCATGCACGCCACATGGTATCTACAAGTGGATGCAAAAGAATGGTGATAAATACAAACACCTACAACGCAACGCCACACCACCGGATATGCAACACTTGTACAAGCAGACATTCAAATGATAGTTGCCCGCATAATTGACTAGTGTCAAATATTTTAGGATGCCCTTGTACATGCATAGCAATAGATAAAAAAATTCATGCAAACATGTCACTCGGTATCACAACATGCATTACGTTACAACTACGTATCCACGCCTGCATGAGCCCCGACGAGCGTGATGTATGCATACACGTGACGTCTGAGAATGTCGTGCGGGTCAAAAATGAACTTAAGTTTGAGCCTGATCCTTCTACATGAACGGATAAGAGTCGACATGGCTCAGACTATTAAACAAATATACGGTCACGATATCAATCGAGATATTTATTTTATACATTAATATTAGGTATTCAAGGTCTATAACAAATAAAATTTACTAACAAAGGCAAAAAGCCGACGATAAACCCGATCTTCAATTGGCAAGTTGATGAAGTCGACAGGGTTCAACAGATAAAGTGAAATGACTCATGAAAACCCCGATAATGTCCATGATGATAGAAAATCTCAACTGGTGGGGACAATATGTGAAAACGCCTCCCAAGTTCCTAAATGCCTATAAAAATTCAAAATTCCAAAAATGTCAAAACCTAAAATATTTAAAATTGAAATAAAACATCTAAATACTTAAAGTAAAATTCATCCACCCTCTGCAACAGTTTGCCGAGGTGGACAAATATGAAAATTACTTCAGCTAACAAAGAGCAAATGTCTAGTCTAGAATATCACTATTATTCATTCTCAATCTGTCTCTTGCTAGTAAGGATGTGGCATGTGTCCTCGAACTGGTGGTTTCGCCGCTAAATGGCACCACACTGATGGTTTCGCCGCCAAATGGCACCACAGGTAAACAGTTATGATCGAGACCCTCTAACCGGGTGGTTTTGCCGTCAAATGGCACTACTATATTACGGTCATAGTCAGAGCCAGCATGTTCCCAACGGCGTTAAATCCTTGAGATATGAATCAATAGGATATAATTGGTAGGGCACAAAGCTTTCTGTTAGCAAGGTAGTGAATTTCTAATTTTAAATATAAAAATTTCAAAGACCAAATCATGTTTCTACTATACGCTGGATATTATGTATTTGTATAGCGCCTAGCCTTAATCAAAAGTTCTCTCTCGTTATCGGGAGGGTAATTAACTATAGGGGCTTGCGCCTATAGGAAACCTGAACTTAGATCATAAAGTCCTCGCAAACGCCTATAGGAAACCTGAACTTAGATCATAAAGTCCTCGCAAAATGAGCGCAAAATCTCTAGTAGTGTCTTATTTAAAACCCAATCTGCTTTCTAAAGATTTGTCTCGGAACTTACTTGTTAAAACTCTCCACGACAACCCTGGAGAAGAAAGAAAGGGTCCGTGGAGGGGCCGATGCGCAAATTTTTGGAGCCCACAATTGTGGTGAAAGCGATCAGGAAATCAACTCAGATCATTAAGTCCTCGCAAAATGAGGGTGAAATCTCTAGTGGTGTCTTATTTAAAACCCAATCTACTTTCTAAAGATTTGCCTCGGAACTTGTTAAAACTCTCCATGACGACCCGGAAGAAGAAAGAAAGGGTCTATGGAGAGGCCGAAGCGCGAATTTAAATTAAACTTACGAAAATAGTAATGTAACTTTTGATTTCATTAGATTGTTCTAAATGAACTTTGCTTCAATCTCTCAACATGAACGTTTTAGCAAAAGCAGAAAAGGTAAATTAGGAAACGAAAAAAAATGACATTGAACTTGTTAAGCTGTTTCTCTATTATAAGAGTAATATTCTTTTTTCTCCAATGTTTTTGGGTGGCTTCTAACTAGTCTTTGTGTTGTGGCGAGCATTATCAATTTATCATCTACAGAAAGGTGGATCATATGGAAAGGTATGAATGAGGAATATGACCTGTGCTCTCAATTGTGCTAGGGATAGTGCCTTGAAGATGTTCGGCCATGGGTTTTAGAGGGTTCCAAACTGGACCAGACCTTTATTTGTTAAAAATAATCTATAACTCTATCCTCGTTCCACTTTTGTGGAAATTTATGAACTACTGTTATTTTTCGAATTGTGTTTTTAGTTTCTGTGGCTAACTATTTCTCCACTACAGCTGTTAGGTATGTTTATATATATAGTATAAATGTATATATATTCATTGAACGAACTTCTCATTTTCATGGCTTCTCATTGATTCTTATTGCTTAAGCCTTATTTTTGCCTTCTTATTAGCCATTTTGGATGTTTGTATAACATAATAGATGATTATGGTTATAATTTTAATGATGCCACCTTGAACAGAACATATACTTAGATTTTATAAAACGAAAATGAGTTTTAGTTTCATGGTGTATTTTATATGGAAAAAATTCGCTTGTTTTGCGTTGTTTTAATATGCTAAAAGAAGTAGTTCCAGTAAGTTTAAGTAGTATGTCTCCTTTAACTAAAGGTTCCTTGAAGATGAAGATGCTGCAAAACTACGAAAATGCTTTGCAGGCTTATGGAGTTTGGATGACTCGGAAGTTGTCAAGACTGCCATTGAAAGACCTGAATTATTTGTGCTCAAGCCACAGAGAGAAGGCGGAGGTTGGATTTAAGGAGACCATTTTGAATATTTACCTTCTTTTTCTTCCCGCTATTCTTCTTCTCATTGTAGTGTTTCCTTCCAGGAAATAATATTTATGGTGATGACGTGAAAGAAATGCTACTGAAGCTGCAAAATGAGAAAAGTCAAGAGCAAGCGGCCTACATTTTGATGCAGAGGATATTTCCTACTGCTTCTCTTTCCTACCTAGTTAGGGAAGGAATTTGTCACCAAAATAATGCCATTTCAGAACTCGGCATATATGGAGCCTATCTAAGGTAACTGTTGTTCTAAGTTCTATTCTTGTCATTTTGAAATCATAACTAATTTCTCTTCTAAGGTGATTTACTTAAATTGATAGGAATAATGATAAGGTGATTATGAATGATCATTGTGGTTACCTGATGCGAACAAAGGATTCCTCTTCAAATGAAGGTGGAGTGGCTACTGGGTTTGCAGTGTTGGATAGTGTATATCTGACTTAAAATTGTTTCTTCGGAGGTAACTCCAACTTACTGTGGTCTTTTACTCTTTTTCTGTGTTTCTTAGGCTTCATTTGGGACGAATTTTTTGTTGCTTCTTAAGGCAGCTTTCTAGTATAAAAATTTTAATCGTTGTATTAAAAAGCTGTTTTAAAAAGCAACAAAAAAGCCGTCCCAAACGAAGCCTTAGTTCCTTTACATTTGAGATACCAATTGTGACTTTCAAAAATCTTGTTCGAGATTCATTTATTTCCTTCTATCTATCAGCAAATTCCTGATGTGCTAATTGTAAGATATTGTCCTATTAGACCAGTAAAGAGGTTGCCTGAGGCATTCAAACTAATAACATAACATGATTTTGATTGTTTTTTCGCTGACTAATTAGTCATTCAGAATATTAATGCCTTAAAGAACAGTTAGCATCTATTTGTTGTCTATGTGTGAAATCATCTGAAGAACCAGAAAGCTGTTCATAATTGTTATAGTTCTTATATCTTATTTAATAAACTTTGCCCCTTCTGACTTCGAATTTTCGTCTGTTGCAGGACACCAGTTTTCCATGACATTCTACTCCATCTGGAAAAGTTTGATTCATATAGAAGAAATAAGGTTCCTAGGCATGTTATTGTTAAGCTTCGTTTGGAACAGTTTTCTTACTGCTTCTTAAAGTAATTTTTTAGTTAAAAAATTTTAATTTTTAAGCTAGAAAGCTGTTTAAGAAGCAATAAAAAAGTCGTTTCAAACGTTCTTCCCTTATAACTTGTTTAAATTTAAATTTTAGGACTAATATGCACCATGGATAGGAAGTTGGCGCACTGAAAGTTTGTTATATTGACGCACTTTGTGTTCTAATTTATCTATTTATAATAACTAAGCTATGATTTCAGAGGGACTGTTCAGTAATCACACTCGTTTGGCAAAACTATAAAAGGCTACAAGTAGCAGGAAGTCGCGTGTTCAATTTTTAACCAAATTTTAGATTTTATTTGTGGCAGTTTTTTAATTATTTTTTTAAACAACTTTTTAATATAAAAATTTTTAGTTCAAATTTTTTTTTCAAAAAATAATATGAAATATATTTCAAACGAAGCCTTAGGCTTTTGTTCCAAATGAGCTATCAAAATCCCCCGCAAGGTCGCTGCCCTTTGACCCCGTGACCTGACCGAGCAAGTCAAATCCCGTCGAGGGGTGCTGCCCCCTTAAACGCCCGACATATTTGTCAACATTTATTTATAAGTTTGCACCCCTGAAAATTAATGTTGGTTCCGCCCTTGCCCACCAGCACTACCGCCAACCACTATCGCCACCTCACATGAATTTATTTTATGATATTCAATCAAAATAAACAATATATATAATATATTTTTAATCCAAATCAAAATATAAAAAATATATAAAACCAAAAATAAAGCAAATAAAAATAAGACACTCAGTAAATGTATTAATACCTAATGCTAATCATTTAATTCAAAATTACTGATAATAATTCTATAATTAAAATTTATAACGATTTCAAGAAAATCACCCATCCTAATTCTCAATTAAAAATCTTAGCCATTCAAGATTAAATCGATGGCCAAATTTTATGCATGATGGATGCATGCAATGCCCATTTAGGCTTTTCAAAATCAAACTAACAATAACAAATTCTTGTACAGATATTCTTGCAATATATTTCTATCAAGAAATTCAATATTTTATTAAGGACAAAAAAATGACAAAAATAAAGAAACCCAGTGCATATTCTGTGATTGATAACAGTTAAGGTAGGTTTGTAATTTTCCTAAAAGTAAGGTTAAAGTTGCATTTGTGCACAACGGTCTTGAAAATGATTTATCTGCCTCAAATGTAACAATCAAAATTCTGAAAAAAAAAAATCAAATAAAATATTCTATTTCTATGAACAAAGCTTAATCAACAATTAATTAATACTATCTAATATCAGCTGTACTGTACAGTGGCGAATGATAAGAGAATCAGATACAACTTATAAGCTTATTTAGCAACAGCCAGATCAAAAACTAAGGTCTCATTTGAGGTGGCTTTATTGCTGCTTCTTAAAACAGTTTTTTAATACAAAAATTAAACAGCAGCAAAACAACTAAGAACTTTTAAGAAGCAGCAAGAAAGCAGCCCCAAACGAAGCCTAAATAATAAAAAAACATAAAAGCTATGAGACAGCAACAAAGGAAACAAATCAATGAAGATATCATATTCAGTTGGAGAAGAATTGCACAACATGTACAAAAAAAAAATATGGGCAGTGCAAAATCTGGACTTAGAAGGGTACTTTGATTAGTTTCCATAAATTGAAGGATGCAGCTGTAGAATCTGGAATGTTAACTTGAAGGGGACTTTGATGCAAAATAGGCTGTAAAACCTCAGAAGGCTGAAGGGTTGCAGCTCCACAATCTTGAAAGATACCTTCAAGAAAAAAGAGAATTCTGACATATCAGAGGTAGTTGAATGAAGAGTTCTGTAAATAATGTGAACATCAAGAAGTAGCCATCAATTACATGAAACTTTTTGAAAATATTGTGCTTTTGTGCATTGACCTTCTTCTTTTTCTTTTTCTGTCTATATGAATGAGTTTTCTAAAAACATAGTAACTAAGGCTCATTTGGTAATGCTTTTCAGATATTTTTCCTTCCTGGTAAAATCTAAAGGTAATTCAAATTCCATTTTTGCAGAAAATGATATGAACAAACATTATTCTACAAACGCTTCACTGCCATTACTAACAAACTAGGAAAATTATTTTGTTCGGAAGCGGAACCTATCCGGATGTCTAAGCCCGTGGCTCGGTACTGTGGTACCATTACTAGACACTTCGAAGAACATTTTGTCCATTTTGATGAGAAAATAATGGCATTGTTTTGGCAAACATTAACAAACGAAGCTAAAGTTTTGATCATCAAGATCAAATTTGAGCTTACACTTTTAAATGCGAGTTGACATAAGCTACTTGACAAAACAATTTTCAATAATTAAAGCATTTTAGTGCTTTTAAATTATGTAAAAAGGACTTAATGCAAGCTACAGGGAGATAGGAGAATGGAAGAGACAAGTGGGGAGGGGTTTGGAATGTTTTCTTTCTAAATGTAAAAATAGAAGCTCTCCGCTAAAGTTTTAAGAGTCAATGCCTTAACAGTTTAATGGGACAAAGACCATATATTATTTCAGCAGCTTTAACGGTCAAGTTCAAGGGTCGCATGGTAGGAGGGCTTTAGTGAGTAGTCTTTTCCCTCCACAACTTTTTGACTGGCCATATGAAGTTATTGAAGGTCATATGATGTTGGTCGCTTTTACAGGCCTAAACATACCCTCACAAGACGAACAAGCACATATGATCTTCGATCTCCCCTATAACATCTCTGAGCATTCTTTCTTATATTCCATCATTCTGCTTAGTTTATGTTTTCTATGGCAGTTGATCATGGCTAAGCCATCTGTTAGGCCGGTTCATCCTGAATCGGCCCAAAGGCCGGCTATTGTTTACAGGAGGCGGACAAGTGCCGCCTCCCATTAATGTGCCGCCCTATGCCGTGGGCCCCACTAGAAGCAAAGCAAGGAAAGAGAGAGGGGCAGCTAGGGAGAGAGGGAAAGAATTTGAATTAGGAAATCAATGTATTAACAGTATGAGTTGTTTTAGGGTTAGGTTATGCATGTTTTGTTTGGTTCTCCATTAGGGTTTCTTGGCGACTTGGGCTCTAGACTCTCTTGTCTAGAGATTTGGGAGAGACGATCCTCCTCTCAAATTGAGGATCACTTCTATCTTGTTTCCGTGCTTGTTTGGTTTTGATTTATATATTGCAATCTATCATTGGTGCTATTTTTCTCCCAGATTTTGTGCTATTATAGCTGTTTTTTCACCAATTTGTGGGAGGTTTGCTTGCGAACTCAAGTATTACCCCTAGGGTTACTTGCGAACTCAAGTATTTCCTATCACCATCATCCCAGAGCATGGTGATAAAAGTGCTCGTCCAAAAGGTAAGTATCATTGTGCTAAGTATTTTCCTTGGTAGTTCTTAGATCATTAAAGAGAAGCATTGGTATTTATACTTATCAGAAAAGTAATTACCAAGGGTTGGGGGAAATGCACAGCATTACATCACTTGGGTTTCTAGGCAATTAGAACATAATAAATACACAAAAGGAATTGGATTTTGAATTGATAGAGTTACAAGACAAGCTCCTATCATTCCATGTTCATGGATTGTTTGCATCCAGTTAAGGTTAGAAGGTACAATTCTTCGAGGCTGGTGACTGGCTAACTAATCAATTCAATTATTTGCAAATTAAGTTTAGAGTGCAGCATCTATGCTCGACTCAATGACTCAAAAAAATGGTTAAGTATACCTGATTCAAGCTAAAAGTAACTGGGTACAAAATTTACTGCTGGTGGTTTTTTTAGAGAAAGAACAGCAAAGCAAAACCAATTACCATTTGCAAGAAGGGGAAGTCAATATGAAGGGATGTTGTTGCAATCCAACAAGAAGGAATCCAAAATGGAGAGTTTTTTTGCAGCTTTCAGCAAGAAATGATATCAGAGAAGAAAACGTAATCTAAAGCATGAAAAAGAGCTCATGGTACCTTTAATTGATTAATGATAGATTAATAGAGAACCTCCGGAAGAATTCTAACACTTTTTTGAATCCATTCTTGCCTCTCATTATGGGCTGTCAGGTTTAGCTATGGATCAGCAAGATAGGAAAAAAAATGAATAATTCAAAAGTTTCGATGAAAACTGGGATCAGTTATCAATAGAACGTTATCTTAAAAGCAGAGGTGATACAGTGATCTACAGTGGTGCAAAATGTGTCGAAATCCCCCAACCCTTTAGGAATCCTTCCAATGTTCATGCCCATGTTCCCTCAATGTCGTTACATAGACAAACATTCATTCCTTCACTTCTTCAATTGTGCGCAGTAGATAAATTAACACAATCTGCAGCAGCTATTGATCTACTTGTACAAATTGACATTTAGTTCAACCTATAGCATTAATCTATATAAACTAATTCAAACTTAACAACAGTAAAATGATAAAAACAAAATATTAGGAAAAAGGTTTTGTTTGGGACGGCTTTTTTAATAATTATTAAAGCAGTTTTTTAATAAAAAAATTTAATTTTTTAACTAAAAAGTTGTTTTAAGAAGCAGGAAGAAAGCCGTTCCAAATGAAACCTAAGTCTAAGAAGATGGCATCATATTTGTCAAATCGGGCCAGCATCAAACTAGTAAGCAACTATAGATTCCACAGATGACATAAAATATAATTTAGTTTGTGGATAAGAGAAACATTAGAGTTTCCCACCATCTTAAACTCAACAAACCTTATATTCACCAGCATCCCAGAAACAGAAAGAATGTCGTGTAACTTAGAAAAATCAGGATTGGAAGTCTGGCGGTCCCAGTTCTCATCCAGGTCTCCGACCAAAAGGTGATTGATCTTCCTGCATTGTATATTATTTATGATAACCCAATTCACTACTTCAGGACCAATATAAACCATCATGAATATGTCTCCAATTCCTTCAATACAGCTAATAGAGGTATACAAGAATGAAACAAAGAACGCAAAGCAACTTTAATACCTGAAAAAACGGTTGGTAGAACCATTGCACCGCTTGTTGGTTGCCAAGGTTCTGCTGGCCAAACTGATTCTGCAATTTGAAAGCAGCAATGTTAGGAAAAACGTATATCATAGCAAATCTACTGTAAATTGTCAACCCTCAGCATCAAATTGAAGAAAACATATGCTATTACAAGCCCTGTAAGATAAAATGGCAATATTCAGTCTAAAATAGCTCCAAGCAATGAATGCAGGCACAAAGGCCACTCTGATTCCCTCTTTCCAATAAGATTAGAATAGTTTCACAAACCTGTAATGCATTGGCGGATTGCAAAGTGGAATGGTTACTCATGATATCTGGGGGAGTAGCATGGATTCCGTAATGGTTGCCAAATGATAATTCATTTGGATTGACTTCCTCCTAAAATTAATATCAACAAAGGTAACCAAAATAAAAGCTTCTATAAAGTAGAAAAAGCAATATGAATAACTGATTGAGATTTTGAGAACCACCAGATTGACGCCACCAGGTATTCTTATTTGAGCGCCCAGTTGTGAAGCATTTGGGGAAGCTTGAAGAAAGCTATTCTGATTATCTATCAATGATGTTCCCAAGTTATCCTGCACATGCATCGTCAAAAGGATTTACCATCAAAACAGAAGATTTGAAACAAAGGAAATCATAACACAAACAAATACCTTCCTCTTGCTTGAGCTTGGTAATGTCTCCAAGCTGGTCTCTTTTACCTTTTTAGGTGGCCGGCCTCTGCGTTTCATTGGTAAGGCTGGAGAATTCTTGCTCTCCTCATACATACCATACTCGTGTGATGCATGATTCTCATCGCTCTCACTTAACCTATTGTCAAAAGGAAGAAGTTTCCGTTGTAGGTCGCGGAACAAGTTATCATCTAGAAGGGACTTCTCTACTTCCCTAATTAATTTCAATGCAAGCTGGTACTTCTCATCTGACATGACTCCAATATCGACAAGGCTGAGGCAACGCATTGATAGATTGTCATAGCGCTCCATTGAATTAGAGTTGTTCAAACCATCTTTTAATTTTCGAGAAATCAAGTTGAGTTGCTTGAAATCTTTCCTCCAACGATCAATGATATACCGTGCAGGGATGTCATAAACTTGCTGTAGCTTGAGAACTGACAATGCATGTCTGCATAAAATGCCCCTAAACTGGAAGAATCCACAAGAACAATGCACTTGGAAACCATCAACAATGTATAACACATCATAGTCTTTGTTTTCTGCCTTTTCAATTTCATTGATAAATGCACACTCTCTAACTTTATATGTAGAGCTTGAAGCATCAACCTTGATTAGTGAGACTTGGCAATAAAGCCCTCCCTTCAGCTCATCCTGGAATACTTTGAAAATATTTAAGGAATATAATTTTGATAGCTGTTCTTCCATGTGATATTTTGACACAAAAATACCAGCATTGTATAATGACTCATAATCTGCCTGTGCTTCCGTTTCATATTTGCTTTGTAAAGACACTTCATACTTGCTTAAAAATTCTTTCAAACATGTCTCAAGATACAGGTAGCCTTCAAAGAACGAATTTATCCTCTCCTTGTAGTGGGTGATGGACATACCAGCCCAAAAAGTGTCCTTCAAAAAAGCAGGAATCCAAAAGCTTCTAAGTTCATATAATGAGTTAAATAAATCATCACCTTTGAGTCCAAATCCCTTGATCAATTCACTCCATTTTTCTTCGAATTCATCAACTTGACAGGACTCAAATACTACTCTGTTCAGCGCTCTTTTAATTGTTTTATGTTCCGCGTACTCTTTCAGTTTTTCCTTAACACTTTTCATCATCCTCCATAAGCAAATCCGATGACGTGCTTTAGGAAAAACATCAGAAATGGCTTCTTTGATCATTTCAGACTCATCAGTTATTACAGCATTTGGAACCGACCCATTCATGCACGTCAACCATGTTTTCAATAGCCAAGTATAATTCTCCACTATTTGTTCCGCAACAAAACCACAACCCAATAATATTGACTGTCCATGATGGTTTGTTCCAAGAAATAAAACAAGAGGAATATTGAATTTGTATTTCAGGCAGGAAGTATCAAATGAAATAACGTCACCAAAGTGCTGGTATGAAGCCCTGGACCTAGCATCAGCCCAGAAAACATTCCTCAAACGGCCTTCAGTATCAAGATCCATCAAGTAAAAGAAGTTCGGATTCTTCGCTTGCATTCTGGCAAAAAATTGATGTATAGCTTCATTGTCACCTTCTTCAAGCTTCAATCTACCTCCATCCATAAAGTTCAAACTTTCCCTATCATCGAGCGATATACCCTCATGCCCACTTGCTCTCGCAATCATATTAGTCATTCTACAAGACATCTTCTTGTAGCATTTCAAGAACCGAGCCGAAGAAGGATTGGTAGGATGGTTATGCTCGACATGTGCTTCCATCAAATGCAGCAACCCATCACCCCATAACTTCACCACAATCATAGCCCGGCAGTCCGTCTTTGCAGTGGGTCGGGATTGATAGCAAGCATTTTCTCTTCCTTTTCCTCCCTTAGTGCATACAAGTACCAACCGCCGACAAAGGCCATATGTTGTAAATGATGACTTCTTTACAGCTACTCCAAAGCCCACTCTTAAAGCATATAGCTTATAAAAGCTAACAACTTCTTCATAAGATTTGAACACCATTCCCACTTGTGGAGTTCTACCATCCATGGCAACCACTTTATCATCCATAGCCATCTCAATCTTGTCCCTTTTACCATCACTACCAGTATCACCATCATGTAAGTTAGCCACTTCTTTACTATCAGTTGCTCCTTCATTTATACAATTGGCTGGAATAACCTGACAAAATCAACTTAATAAACAACAACAAACAGTTGAAAGTAACAAGTTACAAGCATCATACTCACCTTGGATGAAACATGCTTTCCAATGCTCAGGTCCCCAATCTTCCCACACTTATCAAGTTGTTTATTACTGTAAGCATAACCTTTCTCTGAAATCACATCATTTTCTTCAGCCAATTCCTCTTCCAGTATGGGCTCATCCGCCATTACCTTGAACAGCAAAAACACAGACAAAAGTCGACATCTTTCTCAATATGAAGCATCAAAAAAAGCGTTCGAAAGGGAAATTGTATCCATCAATGCAATATCAAATAGTCTCGAAAATTATATACATCGTATAAACAACAAACCTATATTTTAGACTTGCTGAGTACGGAAATAGCGTCGAGTGAGGAAAATCAAGATGGGAAAGGAGCGCCGGCTGCAAAATCAACGGCGTAACTTCGTCGTTCCGTCTCAAGTGAAGAAGAAGAGAACTAGAAGAGAACTAAAAGGATCAGACGAGAATTGGAAATCAGCTGCAGGAAATGAACTATCAATCGGAATTCTATTTAGGGATTTCGAGCAAACGGTAAGAAAGGTATAGAGAGGGAAAGAGTTAGGGAGAGTGAGGGTTTAGGGTTTCGTCGCCGCCGGCGAGGATCGAAGGAGGCCGGAAAGTAGTAGCCAACACCGAATGGACGGCACCCGCACCACACACCCACAGATGTTAGGGTGGAGTTGTGGAGGGTGAGATTGAAGGTGCGATTTGTTATGTCCACTTTCTTATCCGTCAAAATTCGTGCGATTGCTTCAGGGGTTTTTTGTTCTACTTTTTGAAGTAGAAGAGTTCTTTACCATATAATTATTAATTTCATACTTGTTATGTGAAAATATATTTATTTTAATTTTTTATACACAACTTAACTGTTTATTTGTTTAATTTAGTTATGAAATATTTATATTAATGTTTATTTAAAACCATAGTGTATATGAAATTAGTTTGTACAATAAGGAAAACTATTAATTTTAATTAAAAATATTAATTTAAAAAATATTATATTTATATATTACAAAAAGTTAAAAAAAAAAACTAAACAAGAAAAATAAAGAAAAAAAGGAGTAAGTAAACTATTATGAAAAGCATGAAAGAGAATATTAGAACTAAATATGAAAAAATATATAGATATTTTAGGGCAAGTTAGGTCAAAAGAATTTTTAAGGGGGGCAAAAGTAATTTTTTAGGAGGGGCAAAACAATTTTTTTTACTCTCCTATATAAGAAAAAAAAAATTTTACTCCTATAAAAAAAAATTTTTTTTTGAGGGGGGGCAATTTCGGGTAACGGGTCGGGTTCGGGTCGAACCCGAAACTGACCCGGTACCCGGGTTCAGTTCCGCCACTACAATTTTTTATACAACAATTTCTTGAATTAGAAAATTTTATACAAAAAAAATCGTTTTAAAAAGCAATAAAAAAGCTGTCACAAATGAAACCTTAGTTGAAATTTCGATGTTGCACCATAATAGCTTAATAATTTATTGTGATACATAGAGTGTTACTTGCCTATACATGTATTGGGCATACATGAACTAAGCATATCAATTTTAGTTATAAAGTTCAAGATAATGAGGTTTAAATTCAAAATATATGCATGGAACATAATCTTGCTAAGATGCTTACCAAAGAGAACTTTATTTGGTTTGCGCAATAACTTATTTTTGGTATGAAGTCTTAGTGATTTAATATTCCTGTCTTTCTGTCATTTCTATTTATCAGAAAGTTTACCTGAAAATTTATTTAACAGTTTAATTTTACCTAATAAACTCAACGAATAATCACAAATTATGCATGCCATTTATACATACATAAAATCACATTCAATAAACTTCCTCTTATATTTAAGATATATTTATAGAAATATAACATTTCAAATTATATATATATATAAATGGCATGCATAATTTGTGATATATCACATATTGTATTGCATTTGCCTTTCATTTATTCATTATTCATTTACGGCAGAAGCACCGTCTAAAATTTTGCACAAATGAAGATACAATTATTTATATTTATATTTTCATTTTTTTTTTGTCTATTTAATGTGCGCACGCGTACATTGCGTCCCCAACTAGTACAATAAAGGGTGAACTCTTGTAATTGTATTCATACACATTTTCCCTCTTTCATTTATACTTTCTTTTCATATTATAAGTTATTTATTCATTTTATTTGTCTTTCAACATATGCATATTTATTTAAATTATTAAATATTTGTATTATAAGGTTGAGTTGTGGTTTCTTACGCTTCATTTCTTTAGACATTCTTACGACTTATGGTTGAGAAAAAAGAAATGGGGAATATATCAAAATAAACAGAAAGCAATGAATTTTACTAATCAATTACTTCATACACTGTACGATGCAGCGATGAGCAAAGTTATGAGCATTTTCTTGACTTTTAACTTCAACTGTTTTTCTTAAATTCTTACTGTTGATATTAATAATGGCACTGGTAAACAATGTTGGGGAAGTGAAACACGCAACGAAAAAAAATAAGAAAGATTGGATACAACATGAACAAATAATATTAAGATTTAACGTGGAAAAACTCGAAACCAGTAACAAATCACGGAGCCACACAACACCAAGAAATTCAATATGAAAATTTGGGAGAAATAGTACAAATCTCTCTTCTATCTTTGTCTATCATTGCTTATCTTTATGCTTGCACCGTTTTCATAGTAGAACATACGAAAAGAAACTTATTAAACCAACAAGGGAAACAACCTTAATGAAAAAAGAGAAAGAAAACTATTACACAATGTCCTAAAACCGTGCGCCAGTTTGTAGGGTAGCGGCGCTCAACTATTTGTTTCCAGTCTGTCAGATAGCGCCGCCGTGTCGGGGTCTGTAGCATTGTAGCGCCAAAATTTGGAGCACCACAATTCTCCGCTCTTAGTCTTTCTCAGGTGCTCAGGTATACAATGTCACATCATTGTACGATTGTACGGGAAAAAAATTCATAGGTGCAAATCACCCAAACACAAGCAAGAGAATGACACATGTAAACATGGAGCACCATAGTTCTCCGCTCTTAGTCTTTCTCAGGTGCTCAGGTATACAATATCATATCATTGTATGATTGTACGGAAAAAATTCATAGATGCAAATCACCCAAACACCAACAGGTGAATGACACATGTAAACATGGAGCGCCATAATTCTCCGCTCTTAATCTTTTTCAGGTGCTCAGGTATACAATATCACATCATTGTATGATTGTACGGAAAAAACTCATAAGTGCAAATCACTCAAACACAAGCAGGAGAATGACACAATGTAAACATGGAGCACCATAGTTCTGCGCTCTTAGTCTTTCTCAGGTGCTCAGGTATACAATATCACATCATTGTAAAAAAAAAATACAATGAGCTCAACAACACGCTCAGGCAAAACTATAATCCGATTGTTCAATACAATCAAATTCCACATAGACACAAGGTACCAGCTTGTGAGCTTATTAGGGATCATTTGTTTCTTTGGGAATAAAAAAATACTTGCTAGCAGGTAACAAGCCTAAAATATACTGTAATCATCATGTAGCTGAAATATATTGCATTCAATTTGTGGAGCTGAATGATAATGTTTCATACGCTGAATCTACAGTTCCATGCAAATATAAAAATTTGAATTTCTTACAAATAAATCTGAAGATTGCAATCGCGTTTGAAGCAAAGAATTTATAGTAGATACCTAGTAGCGATGCAATCGTCTCCCCAGAACCTGCTGATATATAGAGATCAAAAGGAAACTGAGCAAGTAACAAGCTAACATTTGAACCAAAGTGAACAATTACGTCAGGCATGATCACCAAATTGGTTGACCACCAAATCTTAGGTTTCGTTTGGGACGGCTTTCTTTCTGCTTCGTAAAGCAGCTTCCTAGTACAACAATTTTTTAAAATTGTTGTACTAGGAAGCTGCTTTACGAAGCAGAAAGAAAGTCGTCCCAAACGAAACCTTAATTAGATCTCTGCAAGTTCCACACGAAATTTGAAGCAGCGAAGGCGGCCGAACCACCAACGACGCACACCAAGGCCACCAAAATCTGCAGGGCCACCTCCCATGCATTTTCTTCAGGCACAAGATATACAAACGCAGGCCCTAAGACTAGTAGGAGGAGGCTAAGCGTCAGGAGGGTGCTAGGTGTGCCTTGGTCTGTGGCTGCTGATAGAACCCCAAGCTCTTCAGCCTTGGAGAGAAGTCCAAGTCTCTCCACGGTTGAGAGTGAAAGGCCAAAGCTCTCTGCTAGTGAGAGCAATCCTGCCTTCTCTGCCTTGGTTAGCAGCCTGAGCTTCTCAACATTTGAAAGGAGTTTCACGGTGGATGTATTGTTGTTCGCCTGTTGCAGGCCAGGCTTGCCGAGAGGGATGACAGTTGAACCCTGCATTAATAGTATGGATCAAACTTCAGTAGTAGTTGCTTGGTTGTTGTTTGAGATGACAAATGTTAGAACTTTATAAGGCATCGGCTTTGTTGAGGTGTTATGTTTAGCTGGTTTGTCAGCAGGTTGGTTTGCCACATGGCCGTTCCTGCATGGCCCCTTCAGGGGGAAAAATTATTAGGTCCGGACACCGGACGTAGATATAGGTCCAGATATCTAATTAAAATTTGACATGTGGACTGTGCTTTTTGACTACGCTTTGATTGTGCTTTGACTGCGCTTTGGCTACACTTTACCTGCACTTTACGTGCGCTTTACCTGCGCTTTTGGTGAGCTTGGCTTAAAATTCCGCGAAGACATTTAATTTATAAAGTAAAAAATAAATTTAATTGAATATCCATGCGTACACTCCACGTGTCAATATTTTATTTGAGTTCGGGCGTATCTCTACGTCCAGTATCCGGTCCTAATAAATTTCCCTTCAGGAAAGTACTATGTGTCTTCCGGTCCTTAATGGATGGTGGCAGTGAAATAAATTAAACAATCATTGCCAGTGATGAGTGAGGAAACTGAAAGAAAATTGTTTGAAATGTGAAAGTTGCGTGAAAGGTAAGAACTTAGGGGTCAGAGTTGGATGGAGGCCTTGCCCAGTGTTGGCAATGGGGATTTATGAGCCATTGTCCATCAGAACTACATATGTCCCATGGTAGGGTGTTAGCTATGGTATGTGGTTAAGGTTGGTCGTGAGGAGCTAGTGAATGAACGTCCATGGTATGCTGAGGGGGCAGTGGAGGAATCAATGAATGGCTGTTCCTTAATTGATTCATTAGTTATGTTTGTTTCCTCACTACATAGGGGGTATGGAGGTCGTCAAGGTCAGTGGAGGAATGAATGAATGGGCGTTCCTTAATTGATTCATTAGCTATGTTTGTTTCCTCACTGCATAGGAGGGTATAGTGGTCATCGAGGTTGGTGGGGTTAGCTTCGTGTGGATGTCAGCTTAGAGCTTGATAAGTTGGTAATAAACTGTTAAGGACGTAGAGGATGATGTTTTCGTAGTCAAAGTGGGATTCGAAAACTATGATATTGTCAACAAGAGTTTTGTTGGCATATAAGTATTGTGTTATTGCTTGATTTTTCATGGTATTATGGTGGCGTTCATTTTTCAATTAAATGACTCAAGAACGGATGGTAGCATGTAGCGGATGCTCGAGGGCGAGCCAAATGTCACTACAAGATTCAAGCTTTAGAATGTATGGGAGAATGGTTGCGATCATTGTGGGTAGATGGTTGGTATGATTTGGAGATCAAATCAGCACCCAAAATAGCCACAAGAATGAAATCAACACCAAACAGCGAAAAACAGCCACCAAAATCAAGAAAAAGAACAATGGTATGTAGGAACAAAATTAATAAAGCTGAAATAACAATTTTCAATCAAAGAAATACAATATACAATTGATTCACTATTTGAGAGGTGAATCGGCTCTCCCCTAATTTCCTAGCAATAATTAGGAACCCAAAATCAAGTAAGAAAAACTACTTCACAATATTTTTCACATAATCCCCTCACATACAAACTTTTCCCCTCAAAACCAGCCCTAATCCCACCATAAATGCACTTCACATTTCCTCCAATAATCTCCCCTTAATCCTTCTCCTATTGGTCTAAAATGGGGTGTTGTGGGACCCACAAAATAGGAGCCTTTTGGCTTCCCCCGAAACAAAGGGGGGCAGAGTAGGGTGCTGAGCGAAGAGGGGCAGGCGCCGCATCAATACTCCCCTCCCAAAAAATAACCTTGTCCTCAAGTTGAAAAGGAGATTGCCTCTAGATAGCGTTGTAGGCTTCCCACGTTGCCTCATACTCAGGTAAATTCTTCCACTTGATTAACACTTCCTTGCTCCCCTTGTCTCCTTGGAGCACCTCTTGTACCTCCAGTGGTTCTAATATTACATCCATATCTTTTAATAGTGTAGTTAGTAGTGCGGGCGAGGGTGTATGGTCTCCGATGTCTTGTCTCATCTGCAACACATGAAATACTGGAAGGATGGCTGAAGTTGGTGGCAACTGTAGGCAATAGGCGATCGCGCCAATCCACTCCACGATGTCGTAATGCCCAAAGTATCGTGGGATAGTTTCTCATTCCTCCGTCGAGCTAGAGTCCTCTGTCTGTAAGGTCGGATCTTCAGATAAACTCTGTCTCCAATCTCAAACTGCACATCTCTCCTGTGTCCATCTGTCTGCCTCTTCATAATTTATTATGCTCGCAGTAAACGTCCCTTCAATCTTGCCAAGATTTGGTCCCTTTCCTCAAGTGCTACTCCATTAACGACACTGGTGTGTTGTCATGCCCATAATGTAGCAGATGAGGGGGATCCCTCCATATAGGATTTTAAATGGTGTTGTATAGGCTGCTGTAAGATATGAAATGTTATACCAGTACTCTTCCCAAACGAACCATTTGGCCCACATCTTAGGTGTATTCAAGACAACGCAATGAAATAAAGTCTCCACACTGCGATTCACCACCTCCATATGGCCATCTATATAAGGGTGGTAAGCAGTACTCCGCTTCAAGATAGTCCTTTGCACCTTGAATAGCTTCATCCAAAAATGGCTAAAAAAAACCTTGTCCTGATCAAACACTATAGACTCGGGGGTATGCCATGCAAACATACCACATCTCTAATGAAAGTGGTCACCACTAACACTATGGTGTATGGGTGGCGTAGGGAAATCACCACCATAATCATTGTGAATGCATCTAACTTAGGCAATCCCTCAATGAAGTCCATGGTCATCTCTTCCTTCACCTTCTCGAGTAGGCTATAAAAGACCACCTGGAGTCATAGTCTAATATTTGAATCTCTGGCATACATCGCAACTGGATAACATCTTCTCCACATCCTTTTGCATGCCCACCCAATACAGCTCAACTGTCAGTAAATGATGTCTTTTGAATTCCCAAATGTCCCCCAATAGCTATGCCATGAAACTCCTATAACAAGTGAAGGATGTGTGGCTATGTCCTCGAAAGCACAAACCGTCCCTGGTATAGCAACTTCTAACCCACCAAAGAATAACCAAGATGACTATCCTTGTTCTAAAGTAAATCTCCTCTGATTTTACTCGGCTCTTCATCTTGCTTGCTCCCTTGCTTCAAGACCTCTCAATCCACCACCATGGGGACCGATAGAGCCAAAACCCGGGGATCTTCACTACATCTGAAGATAATATCTGCAGCTTTATTGTCCAACCCGGGCTTATATTGGATCTCAAAATCATACCCAACAACTTGGAAAGCCACCGCTGAAGCTCCTCTGTCATCATCCTCAGCTCCAACAAGAATTTCAAAATCCTCTGATCAGTCCTGACTAACAAGTGCAGCCCCAACAGGTAAGGTCACCACTTCTTAATTGCTAACACAATCGTCATCAATTCCCTTTCATATAATGATTTCGCTTTCAGTCTGGCCCTAGAAGTCGATACTTTGTTGAAATAAGCTATGGGCCTCTGCCCATACATGAGAACTACTCTCAACCCATAACCTGATGCATTAGTCTTCATTACAATCGACTGACTGAAATCTAGTAGTACTAACACAGGGACACTAGTCATGACTTTCTTAACCTACTCAAATGTCTGAGTGGCTACCTCCCCCCATTTGAAATTGTCCTTCTTCAGCTGCTCTGTCAACTACCAGGCTATAGAGTTGTATATCTTCACAAACTTCCTGTAATATCATGTGAATCCTAAGATCCCCCTTAGTCTCTTCTGGTTTTTAGGCAATGGCCACTCCACTATTGCATCTATCTTGGTTGGATCCGTTGACACCCCGGCTTGAGACATTATATGTCCCAAATACTCAACCATATGCCGCACAAAAGAGCATTTTTTCAAGTTTGCATATAGTTAGTGCTCCGTCAAAGTTCCCAATACCACCCCCAAGTGCTCCTCCTCCGACTTGCTATAGATAAGGATGTCATCAAAGAATACCAGAACAAACCTCTAAAGATAAGGCTTAAACACCCTACTCATGAGTGGCTGGAAAGTGGCAAGGGCATTAGTGAGGTCAAAAGGCATCACCAAGAACTCATAGTATCCCTCATGAGTTCTGAAAGCTATCTTGTGGGTGTTCTCTGGTCTCATTCTGATATGGTGACACTTGGACTTCAAATCAATATTTGAGAACACCACCAAGCCATGCAACTCATCAAGCTGCTCAACAATAACCGGTATGGGAAACTTGTTTGGCACAGTCTCCTTGTTTAAGGCACAATAATCTACACATAATCTTCAACTATCACCATTTTTCTTCACTAGTAACACGGGACTAGAAAAATGGCTCATGTTGGGCTAGATGATCTCGGCTTCAAGCATGTCCCGAATCAGCCTTTCAATCTCATCCTTCTGAACCTGTGGGTAGTGGTATGGTCGGACACTAATGGGAGTGACTCCTTCCTTCAAAATAATAACGTGCTCGTGCTTCTGTGGAGGCGGCAATCGTTGGGGAGGTTGGAATACCTCACTGAACTATTGGAGAAGCAGCTGAACTACTTCTAGAATGTCCTCTATCTCCCGAGTGTCTCCTCCCTCCAAGCTCTGGAGCTCCACCAAGAATCTCAATCCTTCATTATGTATGGCACGCACCATGGTTTTCAAGGAAACCATTGCTTTGAATAAACTAGGGTCTTCCTTAATCACCACATTTCTCCACTCCACAAGGATCTCCATAGCTAAGGCCTTCCAATCCATTTCTCCATAGCTAAGGCCTTCCAATCCACCTTTCTCCATAGCTAAGGCCTTCCAATCCACACCTCCTTAATCACCACATTTCTCCATAGCTAAGGCCTTCCAATCCACCTTGGTCCCCCAAGATCTATAGCCACTTTACACCCATGATCAATACTTCCCAAATCCAGTGGAAGAAAATCCTCTCTGATGTGTGAATCCCTTGCAACTCCACCACCAATCCCTCAAAGATACCCCTGCACTTCTC